TGCAATATCAGATCAGAGGTATAAAATTTTACGTATGTACTTATTACTGTAAATACGAAAATCATACTTTGTTTTTAGTCTCAAATTCTTTAGATTTATCACTATCTTGGCTTATTGCTATCATATGTGACTGCCATACTAATTACAACTGAATTAATTAAATTCAAGAATATGTACAATATAAAAAAATTTTAATGGTCACACTAACAGAAAGATTCATTCCTCTTACTGATTTCATGAAACAGAAAGAAGCTTTAATGAATTCAAAAAAGTCAAAACTTTAGTAAGATCGAGTGTGAAATTCTCATACATCGATAGGAGTATGTTTGGGTTCACGTATGACAGAATTCCTTTAAGAGATCATACAAAATAGTCATATATCATATTCATAATGTAATGATTTTTTCGGTCTTTTAGCCAATCAAATTTTTTTTTTCGAACTACTAAGTGGATGCATTTCATATAAAATTGACCTGAGTCATGTTTTTTTTGTTTAACCAAGAAGGTTTATATGTATTTTACTATTACTCTATTAATTGCTTGAAATCGTAGTCAGTTCTCAATCTCTAAATAGTTTGTTAATATTAGTCGTTCAAACGAACGCTTTTGATAGTTTCATAACCAAGGACACAATGAATAGTTTGATATTACAACGAAACTGTATATTACATTTAAAGGGTATAATAATTACATTATTATTATATCTTACCCTTACGGTAATGGTCGTATCAGCGTCAGATTCAGGGGATAGTAGGGAAGGTTATTACCTTGAAAATGAGAGACCTGGAGAAGATATACCACCACTTCCAACTTTAGCTAATACAGAGAACCCATATGCTAACATAAGTAAGTATTCTTTGAAAAGAGGTCTATCAATATATGCTATTATATATATAGTTAACAAAGTCGATTTATTTGTATTAAAAAAAAATAGCGAGAGGAAATGATTATCCGATGGATGGAGCTAGTTATTTAACAGGAATAACATTAATGATAACAGGTTTAGTAAGCCTGTTTCGAGGCAATAAATACAAGTGGTTATCAATATTTTTTGCTTCATTCTATGGAATATGTATGCATATTGATGAATTATTCACAAATGAGCTTACCAACTTAATTCAACCTAACGTCTTTTTTTATTTATTTAATAAATCTAGGTATAATATTAATGTTATTTATACTCAAGTACCAAAATGTAATAAATCCTACGTCGACGGTTCGATTTATATATTTTATAGTAAGTGTTGGAGCTGGTATAGCAGCTGGTGTATTTTTCGTATTATTATGGCCAACAGGAAAAATTCTTGTTGGAACACTTGGTGGTTTTTCACTAGCTATGATTTTATTAGCAACCAAAACAGATGGTTTAATATCTGATCAAATATGGCGATGGGTACTTATTGGACTTCTTTCAACAATAATGTCAATAGTAGCTGGATTTCAAAAAATTTATTCATATATTGCAATTATATCAACAGTATTTTCTGGATGTTATTGTTTAATACTTGGAGTAGACATTTTTGCACGTACAGGAATATTAGCATCTTTTAAAACTTTTTGGGGGTTTACGCAACCCGATGATTATCGATACGTAGTAGATACACACGTGATCATAATACTATTATCAATTGGAGTTCTTGGTGGATTGTTTGGTATAGCCATACAATTATTGGAATTATGGATAAAACAAAAAAATGATCGGTCAAAGGTCGAGGCAGATGATGATAAGGAAAGTCATGATTCAATAAAATTTAGGTCATTTAGAAATAAATTAAAAGAAAAATTTCATAATCCATTTAAAAGACATTGACGGACAATTTTTTACTTACAAATAATTTAATTTTAAAGCATGAAATAATTTCAATAATTTCACTAGGAGCATTTGTATCACTAATTTAGATGAAGCAAAAAAAAAAAAGAAAATTATTTTTTTTATTATACAATTATTATTTTTTTTTTCATTACTTGTACAAAATTTTTTTATTAATATTTTATTGATTCCACATTAATGCATATATACATTTCAATCGTAAAAGCAAAATAACAAAAAAAAATATGCTTTTTCAATTTTCTCTCAACTGAAAAATGACAATTCTAAAAGAAAAATTTCATAGTTGTCGTTATACATTCAGATATTTTCATTTTGTGAATGCAGAGCATGCAACATCAATAAACTTCAAAATATAAATCATAAAGTTTAATAAAGAAATGTAGATTTTAAATATATAACAGAAATAAGAATAAAAGTAACAGAAGTAATAAATTAATAAAAATTAACAGAAGTAATAAATATAGAACAGAAGTAACAGAAGTATATATATAGAACAGAAGATCTAAATCTGGTAAAGTTGTAAGATCATCTCCCTCATAATCTACCAATCATGTTCCAGAATTTGTAACGCGTTTCTTATGAAAATCCTTTGACTTTTCCTCACTTCCACTTTCCACTTCCACTTCTGCATTTACCGGTAGATGTATTGCTTAGCTAAAGAAAAATATTCTTAGAAATTATTTGAACAAACACAAAATTCATTATGCAGACCGGTAATGTCATGCACTATAATAATTAAATGTCTAAGTCTAGGCGTTTATTTTTTTTAATTAAGTCATGTATACTCAATTTTTTTGTTTTCTTATCTTTTTACACGCTTACCATAAAATCTTGAAATAACAGACACCCAACGTTATTTCAAATACACCTGTGTACAGTACGTTATTTCGAGATAAAGGGCAAGTTTTTTTAATCCTGATTATTAATGTATCATAAATTCGCTGATGAATAATATGAGATGTATGACGCCCATGGGCGTTATTTTGAAAATTAGTATCGGTATTCTATTTTTAAAGACCTGATTTCAGGATTTCGAAATAACGCCCATTATTGTTATCTTGCAGCTTTATGGTATATCTTTTCATGAATATATCTTTCATGAATAAAGCTAGTTCCTTTGTTTTTCTAACTATATAAAAAACGCGGATTCTCTTACCAAAAAGGAAAGATCTGTATCATGTTTTCTTAGGGGAGAAAATAATTATTCTAAAGGTGCAGACATTAGAATATGAAATGACGTATAGCACAGCTGTAACTGGGTAGCTACTAGAGTGGTTGGCAAGCTTTTTAACTCGCCAACTAATAGTGACAAGACTCTCGCCACCAAACTTGCCAGCTCACTAGCTAGTTTGCCGACCACCCTAGTAGCTACTCAAATTTTAGATGTCGTAAGAGGGTAGCTACCCTTGACAACTTGAGCATCAAATGTAATACATTTTTTCTTTTACCATTAAGAGAACAGCTTTTTGAATTTGGTATAAAGGCGGAATTTTACTTTTGTTCTCGAGTGTCGAATATACAAGGTAATAAAATCGTTTTTTTTTTTTTTAAACATTTTTTATTTTGTAAATTTTTCGTTTTATACGAAAAGTTGGTAGTTTCTTACAAATTTCAAAGTTATAATGATATTTTTAATATTATACCGCCTTGACCGAAAATTAGAATAAGGAAAAGTTTATACAAGCAAAGTTTGTAATATATTCATGTGGATTTGCATGATGAGGTTATTTATATGCGGAAAACTTGGAAATATACGCAAGTTAATTGATTATTCGCAAATATAAAATTTCATTTATTTCATTTATTATAGAAATAAATTACTTAAGAAGATTTGTATATGTACAAAAAATTGAACTAATAGTAGTTACATTAGTGTTATACTTGACACTTTGTAGCGTTTGTTAAAAAAAAAAAACTATCGTTCAATTAATACTTTAATATTTCATGCAAAAATATTATTCTCAATAGGAATAAACTATTAAACAAAAATTTTAGAGAATTAGTTTTCACATTTTTCGAACAATCTTGATAAGAAAAAAAAAAAGTCACTTACGATCCTTAGGTTCTCTATCGAGCAACTTCTTTGTTGTAGTAGTTTGGACGTTATCAATATTTCTTTTAGTATGTTCAATTCGAATGATAACTTCCATTATGGTATTTATAGCAGACCCGATAGCAAAGTATGCTAGATCAAACATGAGGAGAAATATAATTGGAGCTATCAAAAGGTAGGCCATGTATTGTATGATCACAAGCATCTTTGATGAGATGAAAAATGACAAGTTCGTTATAGATATGGAATGCGTAAGAGAATAAGAAAGGAATGAATATTTATAGTCGTCTGAGAAATTAAGGATTTCTAAATTGTAAATTATTATAACTCGTTGAAGTTGATAATATAATGTAATTGATTATAAATCTTATATATCGTTGAAGTTAATAATACGTATTATAATAATTATCGTTATGGATATCAACAAAATCATGTAAAAAAAAAAATTCTTTAAGTCGACATTTTTTCCTCTTAAATAATTTCTTTTTCTGACTTAAGCATGTATGAATTATCAATTATTGGATTATTTATTTATATTGTTAGAATCAGGATTCATCATTTCTTTAGTTACTGACATGATTGTTTTTATTTTAGGTATTATGCACTTATCTATAATTCATTATCTTCATAATCTCTACTATCGGTTTAATCTGCACTAATATTTCAAGAGAACCAACCGGGTGTTTTTTATTGATGCATATAAAAAAAATTAATACGATTAAAGATCCGGTGATGTACTATATGTACTATACGTACTGAAACATATTTTTACATTCCATTTTTGATATGAACATTCTCACGATCGTATAACAACCTTCAATTTCCTTTCTCACGATTAAGAATGCTCCACTTTGACATTCTGCATACGCCTTAAGTTCGATTTGTAATTAATCCGTTTTTCATTATTATTTTATTTTATACTCTATAAAATAATTAAATAAATGCTTCCTCCCCCATTATATAAATGCGTGCACTTAATAGTAAATCACTTAATCATGGCTTACCCACATGATAATGGTTTTTGTGGTGGTGTAATCACTTATAAACCACATTTCTTCTTATAGATAAATCCATTCTTTATTCTGATACAATGGATGCTTGAGGTGATTTCCGAGTAAAATTGTTGGTGAATCATGTGCTTAAATATTGGCCTTCCTTTTTTACATTAATACAAATCATCAATGCTCATTATGGGTGAATTCGTACTCTCTAAAAAAAATATGACGTATAACTCTTATTTTCTTCTTAAGCCCTCATTCACTTTACTCCTCATTTTTTTTATAACAATGAATTTCTTCCTTATTTAGGCTTTCTATCGAAATCTTAATTGATGTTGATCTTGTCGTTATCGTTATACTCCATGCTTATTAAGTATAGATTACTGAAGTTTATCGATGATTATCTAAGATTCACAAAAGTATCGTGCGAATTGTGGGGTGCATATCCTTGTTTATTTACTGTATTAATCTAAAAAAAAGATAGACAACAATGCCTAATATTTTTATTCTTTTTTTTCAAAATCGAAAGCGATAAAAGCTGGATTATTTCTTGTTATTGGTAGCCACTTTTACATATCAATTATCGATAACAAAATGCTTGGTCTCGAATTATTGTTCAAATAAGCCACTATAAAATAAATTATTTTTTTAAAAAAAAAACTTTATTTTAAAATAAAATTTTTATAAATTGTCATATATACATTTCTGTATATCGCAATTTACTTATATCTTGTATCATATCAATAATTATTATATTTATTGTATGATCATCTACTTGATTACGTTGATTCAAACTTATTAATCTTTTATTCTTTATCGATATTTAAATTTTTTTTAAAATATTTGTTTTATAACATTTTGGTCTGGATTAAAAATACTGTAAACACCCACATATATATACTTGGCAGTACAGGACACATTGATTTTACATAGTAATTTTTTGCGTAATATATAATATCGTTTAGCCAGGGTCCGGTCCAGTCCGTCCCGGTCCCTAATAAGACCATGTTCAAAAAGGGTCCTAATTATTATGGCTAACGGAAAGTGTCAATCATATGACGTCGGCAATTGAAAATAATCGATCACGTAACATACTTTTTTTTTATTTTTCATTGAACTAAAATGGTTTCAAAGAATCGCATGATAATAGTTATGAATGCTCCCTATCACATTATACCAACAATCAATCTAAGTATGGAATTAACAGATTTGTATGCACAACTTATTAGAGTATAATGTAATAAACAACTACTTAAGTAGAATAATATGAATTTCTGTGATAACCTGAATATATATGAAATTAATGGGTTTGTATATGTAACTTAATTAGAATATAGATAACAACAACTACAATATTTCTTGAGGTTCATTACTTTAGTGATTAACCTAAGTACAGAATTAATGAATTTATATATATAACCTATTAGAGCATAACACTGCATAAGTAGGGTAATTTAGGGATGTTATGGTCCGGCAGGGACCACGATCCAACCCGGTCTTCTTAACTGGTCTAGGCAGTTCCAGGTCCATAGATTGAAACCGGTTTAAGTAAGTCAGTCCT